AGAAGGAGGAAGCAGCAGAGGCCCTACGTCAGCCTCACGAGGCACGAGGTCAAGGTGTGTGGAGCTTGGCTGGTGTGCACGCGGTGCGGCAAGCGTGCAGCTTCGGCCAGGATGAGGAAGAAGCTGTGGGCCTCCGCGTGCGCACCCCCTCCCTGGCAGGCGGTGGGCCACCAGTCCAGCGAGGAGAGGGGCTCGCTGGAGGCTAGGGTGGGAGCCGCATGCGCGCGGAGGCAGAGGGCTGCAAGGCAGGAGGCGTCCACGGCTGCAGGGCGTGGGGCTGGCGGCGCCTTGGGGGCGGCGGCGGCCTGCGCTGGCGTGGCGGCGGCGGCGGCAGCTGCAGGCGGAGATGATGGAGAAGACGGCAGTGCTGCAGGGAGGTCACCTCGGAGGTCGAGGTCGCCTCGGAGATGCAGGGAGGCGGCGGACGCGCCTGTCCTCGAGGGCCCGCCGAGCGCCGAGGAGGATGTCAGGAGGGCGCATGTCGTGGAGGTCGTCGGCCCCTACGTCGTCTGCCGCGTGTGCGGGGCCCACTCGGCGGTGAGGCGGGCCAGCTTGGGCCGCGCCTGTCCTGGGCCCCTGCCGCGGCGAGGGGCCGACGGAGGAGCGGACTCCAGGAGGAAGAGGCGGGGCCGCATCCTCCGCGGCTGCCACCCGCAGACGGGCAGGCCGCTCCCCGCCGAGATGGTGCCCACGAGGAGAGGTGGGTGAGGCCCGCGGGCCTCGCGGGGCCGCACTGAGCTCAGTGCGGCAAGCCTCCAGCGTGGCGGAGTCCGCGGCGCTGGATCTGGGGAAAAAAAAGGCCTCTTGGCGGCCTCTTGGGGGCGTCTTGGGCCGTCTTGGGCCGTCTTGGGGCGCTTTTGTGCCGTTTGGCCCCTTCGGGGGCCTTCTTGGGGGCCTCTCGCGGCCGCCTTGGGGCCCTCTTGGAGTCCTCTTGGGCCTGGGGGCCTCTTTGGGCCGACTTGGGGCCCTCTGGGGCCGTCTTGGGGCCCCCTTGGGTGCTGCTTGGGCTGTCTTGGGGCCATTTTGGAGGCTGCTTGGGCCGTCATGGGCCTCTGAGAGCCGGAAAAAACGAGAACGCTAAAATCACAAACATTCTAAGGAAAATCAATGTTTTTGGCCTCTGGAGGCGCTCTTGTGGGCGCTCTTGGGGCCCTTTTGGGCCATCTTGGGGGCTTTTTGGGACGTCTTGGGGCCGTCTTGCCCCGTCTTGAGACCATCTTGAGCCGTCTTCACGCTCTTTTGGACCCCCAAGAGGCCCAAGGAGCCCAAATCATAGATTTTCCATAGGTTTTTGTAGGTTTTGAGGCCCAGAGGGGGCCCTGTTCCTGAGGGTCGACGGAAGTGGCGCGACTCCGGGGGGGGGGTAGGGGGGGAGACATAACAATGTAACACAATACAATTTGTGGCAATCATGCAATGATTGGATACATTGGATACGTTGCATTATAGCCTTCGCGGACCTGCCTCCGGCAACGCGTCACTTCCGGACGTGGATTCCTCTCGCTTCGCGGGGTGCACGTCCGGAGCACGTGCAGACTGAGCGTTGGGTGGTTTGCCCTGCTCGTTTCCGCGTTGGTCTGCAGTGCCGTTTTGCCCACCTCGCGGCGCTGCCAGCGCCACGGGGGGCGGATGCGCCCCCCTCAGTTTCAGCGCTGGGACGAGCATGCGAATGTCCACGAGGTCAATGAGCATTCTCCGCGTGTCAGTACAAGGCTGGCCTATATGTTCGGCAATCGCCCTCGGCACGAACCCTGCTCTCTCGGGGCCACTGCCCTCCTTCCTCCCTCCTCGCGTGCCTGCACTTGGAGGTGCGCTGCGCCCAGCGGAGTTCGTGCGATGAACCACGTGCTGCACCTGGTCCAGACCGTCAGCTGGCCGCTCAGTCCAGTCGTTGTGGGGCCCTTTGGGAGCCTCTTGGGGGCCTCTTGGAGGCCTCTTGGGGGGTTATTGGGGTTTCTTGGGGGCTTCTTGGGGGCCTCTTGGGGTCTCTTGGGCGCGTCTTGGGCCGTCTTGGGGCGCTTTGCGCCGTTTCGCTTCTTCGGAGGCGTTCTTGGGGACCTTTCGCGGCCGCCTCGGGGCTTTGTTGGGGTCCTACCAAGCCGTTTTGGGGGCCTCTCGGACCGTCTTGGGAGCTTCTTGGGGCCGCCTTGGGGTCCTCTGGGGCCGTCTTGGGCCCCCGTTGGGGGCTTCTTGGGCCTTCTTGGGTCCATTTTGGAGGCTGCTCGGGCCGTAATGGGTTCTGAGAGCCGGAAACGGCGAGAAGGTTAAAATCATTCAAAAACCATAGGGAAATCGATGTTTTTTGCTTCCGGAGGCGCTCGTGGGGGTCCTCATGGAGCCCTCTGGGGCAGTCTTGGGGGCTCTTGGGGCTCTGTTGGGCCCACTCTGGGCCGTCTTAGGGCCGTGTTGTTGGCTCGTACAGAAGCTGTACTGAGCCGTCCTGACACCATTTTGGACCCCCAAAGGCGCAAGGGACCCAAATCGTAGATTTTCCATATGTTTCGGTAGGTTTTTGGGCTCCAGAAGGGGGGCCGCCACTTTGGTCGACGGATGTGGCGTAGCGCTGGGGGGGGGTGTTAGGGGGGAACCATAATAATGTAACACAATACAATATGTGACAATTATGCAATCATTGGATCTATTGGATACGTTGCATCATCGCCTCCGCAGACCTGCCTTCCGCAACGCGTCACTTCCGGACGTGGATTCCTTTCGCTTCGCGGGGTGCACGTCCGGAGCACGTACAGTCCAGCCGTTGTGGGGCCTTTTGGGAGCGTCCTGGGGGGTTCTTGGAGGCCTCTTGGGGGCTTCCCGGGGCCTCTTGGGGGCCTCCTGGGGGCCTCTTGGCGGCCTCTTGGGGGCGTCTTGGGCCGTCTTGGGCCGGCTTGGGGCGCTTTTGCGCCGTTTGGCCCCTTCGGGGGCCTTCTTGGGGGCCTCTCGCGGCCGCCTTGGGCCCCTCTTGGAGTCCTCTTGGGCCGTCTTGGGGGCCTCTTTGACCGTCTTGGGGGCCTCTTTGGGCCGACTTGGGGCCCTCTGGGGCCGTCTTGGGGCCCCCTTGGGTGCTGCTTGGGCTGTCTTGGGGCCATTTTGGAGGCTGCTTGGGCCGTCATGGGCTTCTGAGAGCCGGAAAAGGCGAGAACGCTAAAATCCTTCAAACACCGAAGGAAAATCAATGTTTTTGGCCTCTGGAGGCGCTCTTGTGGGCGCTCTTGGGGCCCTTTTGGGCCATCTTGGGGGCTTTTTGAGCTCTCTTGGGGCCATCTTGGGCCGTCTTGGGGCCGTCTTGCCCCGTCTTGAGACCATCTTGAGCCGTCTTCACGCCTTCTTGGACCCCCAAGAGGCCCAAGGAGCCCAAATCATAGATTTTCCATCGGTTCTTGTGGGTTTTGAGGCCCAGAGGGTTCCCTGTTCTTGAGGGTCGACGGATGTGGCGCGACTTCGGGGGGGGGGTAGGGGGGAGACATAATGATGTAACACAATACAGTATGTAGAAATTGTGCAGTCTTTGGATACATTGGATACGTTGCATTATCGCCTCCGCAGACCTGCCTCCTGCAACACGTCACTTCCAGACGTGGATTCTATAGGCTTACGCCACATCCGCCGACCCCTTGATTCACTCTCGGCTCCGTGCTGTGCGGTGTTTTTGCTCGCGTCCTGTGCCGTGCTTTCCCCCGCGCGCCACGTGCCTGTGGGATTCTCGGAAGTCTCCAGGGCCGTCTTGGGGCGATCGTGGATGCTTCGCGACCTTTTCGATCTCGGTGCAATCGGAAAGACGAAAATGCTGAGATATACGAAATGTGAGTTGATTCCAATTGTATTCGCCTTTCGGGGTTTTCTTGGCGCCTGCACGTCAAACATACTCGGCATTGCATATGCTTGTATGTGCGTTCCAATCGTGTTCGCCCTTCGGTCTTCTCGGCACATCTTAAGGACTGGTTCGGTTGTTGCGGGGCCCCTGTAGGAATATCACGTATTGGGGGTTGTTCCGTATGGTAGCAGTGATGTTCCGCGCGCCCGAATATTCTTCAAAGAGGGCGTGATGAACGGCACCTGGGCGTAGGTTGTCGACTCTGAATCATAGGCATTGAAGCTATGCACACAATGATTCGGAGTTCGGGTCCACGGGGAGAGGGAGGAATAGTTGGAGGATGAGGCGAGGTTGGAGGACGGTTGGAGGACGGGGAGGAGGAGGAGGAGGGTATTGGGGTGAGGAAGGCGACGACGGCGATGACGACGACGACGATGGTAGAGGGCTCGTGGATGTTGGTCGGGATCTCGTGGTTGGCCTCTCGGGGGGCCTCCTACCACTTCAGGCACTTGGGGCGCTTTTTGGGCTTCATGGGGGCCACCTGGGGACTCTTGGGGAGCCTCCTGGGAGCCCCGTCGGCTTCTTGGGTGCCTCTTGGGGCCTCTTGGCGGGCGCTGGGGGCGGAACGCTCTAGCTTCCGCTTCGTGGTCCCCTTCCCAGCCCTATCTTGGGCCCGTCTTAGGGGCTTTCTTGGGCCGTCTCGGGCGCCTCTTGGGCCTTGGGCCGTCTTAGGGCCTTCTTGGAGGCCTCTTGGGCCGTTTTGGGGCGATCTTGGGGGCCTCTTGGGCCATCTTGGAGCATCGGGCAGCCGAAGTATTGAGTTTGTGAAAAACGTTTCAACGAAAGAATTGGACCATTTTTGCGTCTGGGGACCCTCTTGAAACGCATCTTCCGGGGCACTTGGGGGTGCCTTGGGGGCTTCGGAGGGCGTCGGGAGACCATCGTCGGCGCCTTGGAGCGAAATTCCGGCGACTCGTAAACCTTTTGGACCGTCTGGGCGGCGTCTTGGTGCCCTCTGGGCCCACTTTGGGGCCTCCCCACCCCCTTGACGCGCATTGTCCGGGACCTTCCGGAGCCCGGGGGGAGTCAAATTCGAGGTTTGGGGTCCGCGGGGGGGGATTATGGGGGGGAACAATCTCACACGCCTAGAGACCCACAAGGGGTCGGCGGATTTCAACGCTTCTTCACAATGCCGCTGGTGCCCCGCCTACCCTCCGTCGCGCTGCCCTTTCTGTGTGCATGGCTCATAGCCCTTTCTGCGGGCATGGTTTATGCGCTTGTGCTGGGCAGATTCGGATCGCTTCCTCTAGTTCGGGTGGCTGAGCATGGGCATCCTGCAAGTTGGGTGGGCGTTTATGCGCAGGCCAAGTCAAATCTCAGAGATGACAGGGTGCTTGCGACTTTGAAGGTTCGTGGTCTCATACCTGTCAAGGTAAACGGAACGATTACCAATATACCTGTTCTTTCAGCGGTATTAGTTCATAAGCAGTTTGGTGTTTCGACACCCCTATTGGCGTTGTCTTTGCTCGCAGGTGATAATCAACGGCGCCTCGGAGGTGGACATCCAGCACCAAGGCGCCTAACAGAACTTCGTCATGCAGCCCGAGCGAGTGTTCATCATGTAGTGTACGGCTCTGGTGAAACCGCTCAATTTTACAAGCCAAGCGGTTCCTTGTGGTACGCGACGCTCCCCAGCGCGGAGGCGGCCGCGTGGGCGAATCGCAGTGCCGGGCCCACAACCTGCATTAGTTTCGACGTGGTCGACGCTAATCGAACTTCCGTGGCCAGCATCACAGATTGTCACCGTCCGTTCTTGTTGCCGATGCCGAACAAACCGTACGATATCACGTTTTGCTATGCGACGCCCCCGTCGAGACTTGCGGTCCACCAGCTGCCGCAGTCGTTTGTCTATCACCTCGGCTTTGGCGCTTCCCAGATGGTCGTGTATCTTCGTCGGAGTGGACGGAGCCATCTGATGAGATTGCTCTCCTCCTTTGTGAGTCGCGGGCTTGTTACCATCTTGTTGGTCGATGATGACGCACAGAGTACCGATATTGTTTATGATTTGCGATTCTATAGGCTAACGCCACATCCGCCGACCCCTTGTCTTTCCATGAAGCGAAAGGGAGGACGATGACGAGGAGAAGGAACAGCTGAGAAGGAGGAGGAGGAGGAACAGGAAAGGAGGAGGAGCAAGAGAAATCTAGATCTGGTCTTCAGGCCATGACTCGGGCCTCCTGGTCGCCGTTGGGAATGTTTCCGGCCGTATGTTCTCATACTGGATGTGCCTGTGATGGCCCCGGAGTCTGAACATGTCCTCGAATATTTGAAATGCAGGATAGGCGTTGGAAGAGGGAAGGTCGACGAGCACAAGGAAAAGGAGGAGGAGGATTTCGCAAACCGTAGCCATTTTGGCTCAAGGGGCCTGCTCCTGAACTTCCAACCTCGCTCGAGAGATTGTGGCGTGTTCAGGGTTTCGGCCCTCTTTGAGGCTTCCTGGCCTGGGGTTCGCGACCCCACCCTCTTACCTTTGTTGGACCCCTCGGTCCCGCGCGCCGCCCCATGGGGTGGCAGTATGGCTCTCACAGTGGTGGTAAGTCTACTACTACTGCGAATTGGTTTTGTCAGAAGTGTGGATGCAGGAAAAATCTATACTACTGGAAATGGTGTAAGCATTGCGGAGCGCGACCCGACGCTGTGCATCCATCGGAACCCCCTAAGCCTCGAGGAGTTTGGAAGGACTGGGAACCAAAACCTGAGGGAGGAGGAGGAGGAGGTGGAGGGCAGCAGGAGTCAGGTGCAGCAGGCCGCGGTGCCAGAGGTGAGGGAAAAGGAACCGCCCCCGCCAAAGTCATCCAGCTGGCCACGGAGCTCCAGCAGAGTCTTGGACAATCCGAGGCTGAGCGGAGCCTGGCCGCCCAGGTCCAGAGAGGAGTCGAAGCCATCCGGCAGGACAGATTCGAGGCCCTCCCCAGGGGTGTCAGGTTTCAGAGAGCTGAGCAGGTTGTTGTCAAGGCCCAGAAACGTGTCGCAGCAGCCGAGCAGCGCGAAGCTGACCTCATCCAGGAGAGGAAGGATCTGGAGGAGAAGATCAGGGTGGCAGGAGAAGATATTGTCACAGCTAAGGAGGAGTTGGAGGCCGCTAAGGAGAAGAGGAGGCTGGAGGGGCAGTCGGATGATGACACTGCATCCCGCCACAAGTTCGAGCAAGCGGCCGCCAATTATACTCCAGAGGTTCAGCACGCCCTCAAGTCGATCCTTGATTCCGTCGTCCCAGCCCCAGCCCCTCCCCTGCATCCATGGAGGAGGACCAGGAGGGGGGGCAGGGTTACGAGAAAGATGCAGGGACCAGACTTCGTGAGTTTCAATCGGCCTTTCCAGGAACTTCCCCAGACGACTACCACCGTGCCCAGCATATATTTCGACCCGCAGTTCCACCTGTCGGACACGGAAGAGGGCTGGGAGCAGGAAGAGGAGGTAGAGGAGCTGGAGGAGGCAAGGGAGAGGCGAGAGGAGGCAGGAGCAGGGCAGCTGAGGCGGCGACGACGGCGGCACAGGAGGCCCCAGGACCGAGAGGACCAGACGGCCCCACCCAGCCAACGACGCCCCAACCAGCAGCAGCATCGGATGCAGCCCCAGGCAGCAGACAGCAAGCATCAGCAGCAGCACCAGGCAGCAGAGGCGCTGGCACAGCAGCCTCCTCCGACGACGGCGGCGAGAGGCGGGGGGGCAGATCCCCCAGGCGTGGCCAGGAGGACTGAGGACGGAGCTGCTGGATCCCCTCGGCAGACCAGGCCTCTCACAATCGCGACGGTGAATGGGTCTGGATGGGGGTCGGCGCTTGTTGAGATAGAGCGCACGAGATGTCTAATTGTCTGCATCCAAGAGCATCGTCTTCGGGGTGGGGAGCTCCAGGAGAAAGTTACTCAACTGACACGTCTTGGGTGGAAGAGCTTTTGGGCAGGGGCAGGAGTATCTCAGGAGGGCAACCCGATCGCGGGCACATGTATTCTGGTTCGTAGGTTCCACCTCATAGAGTTTCCTGAGAACAGCAGCTGTAGGCACCATAGGCTTGTACGCGGTCTACCCCAAGGATGGCATAGGCATGGTCAAATCTAATCTGCAGCTGTTTAGGACTTTTGGAGCACATACCCTGGCAGCAGGAGTCCCATTCATAGCAGCAGGTGATTGGAACTGTACGCCAGGAGCATTGAGAGCAGCCGTGGATTTGAATATTATATCTGCCACTATACGTAGTGCTGTACATGTTCATTCTCACGTATACACCAAGGACGGTAAGACTAGGAGTAACACCCTGGATTATTTTATCTTGAGCTGTACTCTTTCTGTTGTAGCGTCGGACCCGAGAGTGGATCTCACAAGTGTGCTCTCGCCCCAAAGACCTGTGTCCATCGTGGTTAAGCGCGCCGTATATGATGTCACAGTACCTGTCATGAAACCGTTCGCTAGGCTCCCGACCACCCCCGCCATCGGACCACGGGCTCCTGGACCTGACTATCATGATTTGACTCAGAGGCTTGATGGTTTTCTGGAACAGGCCAAGGTTGATGGCACGCAGTATACGTTGTCGGGGGATTGGAAGGAGAGAGGGCAGCAGGTCTTGGATCAGGTGTACCAGGACTGGGTGTATAAAGCGTGGCAGGAGCTCCAAGATGCGACTTAATCCTGTCCCGCGTTTGGGGTGCCTGCTGGGGGGCGTTTCGCTATTGAGGCCAAGCCCATTAGAAAAGTGCTCACCGCCAAGCAGAACCCTCTGCCGACCCCAGGGGGAGCACTTCACTGGCTGAAGAATCGTCTTGTCGAGCTCCGCCAGTTGCATTCCCAGCGAGGGCAGTCGGCACCGTCAGGACACTTTCAGACCCTGCTCAGAGCTACGGGCAAAATTATTCATGCTGGTGGACTCTTGAGACGACATCTGGGCCAAGAGAGCACCGTACTGGATCATGATGTTGGACCATTTTTATTCGCGTCTCCTGCAGCATCATGCCTGGCGTGACCACCAGCTGATTCCAGAAATGAATGCCTTCATCGAGGTGATTGAAATGTCAGCCAAGCAGCAGTGCGCTTTGGACAAGAGGAGCAGAGGAAAGAGGTGGCAGGAGTGGTGTGAGCAAGCGTTAGCAGGAGGAGCAGGAGCTGCGCATGCTATGACCAGATTGTCACCTGAGTATGAGGAAGAGGTGTACAAGCAGGAGGATGGCACGCTCACGGGTGATATCACGGCGGGCTTGCAGCAGCAGAGAGACTCGCGGAGCAAAGCCTGGTCAGCGTCGGACACGCTTGATGTCTCACAGTTTGACTTGGATGGACCCCTCGAGATCCCACAGAGAGCTGAACCAGACCTTCTGCGCAGAATATCCAGACACTTAAAGACCAGGACCACGGAGATAGGAGGCTTTCATCCCAAGCACTTCTCCCTCCTTTCCTCTGCGTGCCTCAACGTCATGTCTGGAATGTTCACCCTCATGACAGCTGGTAGCAATGCGCCGTCGTCCCAGCAGTATGTGATCATGCAGTTGTTCAGGAAGCCTAAGAGGGGACGTCGGCCCATAGGGTTTTTCACTTCTGTTGAGAGGCTGCACGGCCGCGCCCTGGCCTACGAGGCCAAGCAGTGGGAAAGAAAACTCGGAAGCCTCCCCCAGTTCTCGATGGCCTCTGGTAGGGGCCCTTTGGATGCTGTCTGGAGGCAGAGTGCCAGGGGAGAGACCCTTTCACAGTCTGGATATCATTTACTGAGTGTGTTGTGGGACCTCAAGCAGTTTTATGAGCATATCAGTCATACCACACTTTGGACACATGCTATGCTAGTGGAATACCCCTTGGCATCATTGAGATATACTTTGAACATGTATAAGTGGCAGAGAGTTGTAGCCATGGACGGTCTTGTAGCACTTCCTATTTGGCCCGCGCGAGGGGTTATAGCAGGGACGTCCACGGCAACATATGAGGTGAAAGCATTCTTTGTACCGGGGATATCTGAATTGACAGAGAAGTTGCACTGCCATAGGTCAGCTCTCACTATTCATATTGATGATTTCACCTTGAACGAAGCTCAGCTAGGTTTCTTTCAGCGCATATCCATGATGAGAGACACGGCCAAGGCATTGGCGCGCCTAGTGACGCAGCAGCTGGGCGTCCCACTAGCGTACACCAAGCTTGCAGTCACAGGTTCGTCGCCGGCGCTGGTCGAGGCAGCCAGAGCTGCCATGGGAGAGCTTGCTGGTGCTCCAGAGGACTTCCCGAAGAACCTCGGTGTGGACTACAGTCTTGGGAAACACAAACATCGCGCGGGTGCCCGGAAGGCCCGACAAAAGAGGTTCCAGAACATTCCTGCTAGGATGAGGAAGCTCAAGACCATCAATGCCCCCAGGTTCACCAAGGCTAATATGTTCTTTACTGGGCTTCAGAGCGCCGCTACATACGGTGGAGAAGTCAGTGGATACACCCCCAAGGAGCTGGCCTTTCTTAGACTTCAGGCGGCCAGGACTTTAGGAATGCCGCAATCAGGATCCAGGGAGATTGGTTTTCAGCTTTTCCCTGCCCGTGATCCTATTCGGTTTGCTGCCTCCACTCTCAAAAGGTTTTGCAAAGAGTGGTGGCAAGCCACGGACAAAGATTTGTTCCAGCTGGACGGCCTGACGGTGGGAGAGTTGTCAAAGGGTTTTGCGACCACCCTAGAGACTCTTGGACTCCTTGGACGTATGCCTGAGAAGGCATCGTGGCTCCAGCGCTCGACAGGACCCCTCACCGACATGCACCTCTGGATGCGCGAAGCAGGCTGGGAATCAGATGGACCAGGTATTTTTGTCAGCAGGCAGGGTGCCAGGTGGTCCCTCTCCCAGGACGCCCCAGACACGATCGCTCAGAGCTTCGTCAAGGATATTAAAGCAGTGTTCCTCCAGAGGGCTCTGACGGCGAAGTTGGAAGATAATGCCAATCACAGAGCGCAGCAGATAATCGCCAGTGGTGTTTGGAGTCTCCCCGCGCGCCGTATGCTAGCTGGTCAGAGGTTGTCTGCGAGCCAGAAACGTCTCTTGGTGGCAGTCTT